GTGTTCTCGATTTTTCTTTTTGCCGAAAATGTTCTTGATATTATTCCGTGACTCACTTGGTTTGACGGAGAATAAGATCAGTGCTTTGACACCTAAAGATTTCTCGTATAATTTTTTGACTCTTATACTTGTTTTATCAAGTTCAAGAAGATCTTTATGACTTCGGCAAATCATCGAGTTCCGCTCAGAAGTTTCGCAGAGATTTTCTAACCGCATGATTGCGACGAGTGATGCTGTATATTCCTCGAGATTATTTCCCAGACGGTTTGGGTCAGTCTTTAGCGCTTCAACGTTTTTAGATTGTCGTTTGCTTTTTGGGATGATTTCGACGAGGTGTTGCATAGTCCGAATATTTTTCCGCTTATTTTAGAAAGCATTTTCTTGATGCGAGGAAAAATGTTCGGCGAAAGAAGAAAGACGAGTTTCGTTTGAAGGATTGGGATGATCGACAATCCGGGTCGATTAAAGACCATGGTGGATCGGAGATGACTTGGAATATGTCTGATTTACGAAAACTTCCAGGAGCGAGTCGGTTTTAAGACAACGTCAGCGTATCTAGCTCCCTCTTTCTTTTAGGAAATGAGTACGTTTGAATGCGTGGCGATCGTTTCTTGGTTGTATGAGAGATTGGATCGGTTTGCGAGTTATGCCTTAGTTTTATCGATGATTTGGGATCGTCTATTCTTCGTTCTTCGTCTTTTGACTTACCGGTCTTCGACGAATTACCGGCAAGAGTATCGGAGCGGAGAGAAGACTTAACCATCGGAGCTCATGTTCTTGTTTCTTCGTACTGCTGTTTTTATTTGGCCGACTAGGTGCGCTTCGTATATCGAAAAAATCAATCACTTGTTTATGATTGGATGTTTTCGACTTACTTGGCAGAGTTTCGTAAAACCGGATTGGGTTTAGAGAGTTCAGATTTCTCGTATAGTTTAGGCAACTTTGGTGTTAAGTCAACCGTTGCCGTTTTAGACGATTGATTCGTACTTATACGAAGAAACAAGTCTTTGCGGTTTTGTCGTAAAATCCCGATGGAAATTCCGATTGAGTCGAAACGAGAATCAGCGCGATCAAGACTCGAAAGAGAAACTCGAGGATTGGTTCAACTCGACGTAGGGCAAGTCGGGTGAACCCTTTCAGCTCGCCGTGTGGCGATCCGGATGGTAAGAAACCTTGGGACGAAGTCAGCGTCTCTTGGGCGAGCTAGGCGCTTGGTTCAGCTCGCCGTATGGCAAGCTAGCTAGCTCTACGTTCGGCGAGCTAAGACGCTTGGCGCGGGTAATTATTGTTTTCGTCGTAGAAGCTCAACGGAAAGTCCGATTGAGACAAAACGAAAAGCAGTGCGATTATTGTTTAGAGTACGATCAGGCTCACCGTAGCTATGAGTTGGATTGCGCGGAACCTCAAGGAAAATTCAGTGCCTCTAGGTTGAGGTGGAAAGCCGGTCAACTCGCCAAGATGGCAAGCTAGGTTTCTTGGCCGACTCATGCACCGTCTTTTCGGCTGGATAGTATTGCCCGATTCTACGAGTAGCCTACGGTTCTTCCACGAGTAACCTAGGGTTTTGTCGCGAATAACCTAGGGTTTTTCCGCGAGTAACCTAGGGTTTCTCTGCGAGTAACCTAGGGCTTTCTCCGCGAGTAACCTAGGGTTTTTCCGCGAACAACCTAGGGTTTTGCCGCGAATAACCTACGGTTTTTCCGCGAGTTACTTAAGGATTTTTCCGCGAATAACCTAGGGTTTTTCCGCGAACAACCTAGGGTTTTGCCGCGAATAAACTACGGTTTTTCCGCGAGTTACCTAAGGATTTTTCCGCGAACAGCCTAGGGTTTATTTCGCGAGTACCTTACGGTTTGTTCCGCGGTTGCTGGGAGATTTTTCCAACTCGGAAATAAGAAAAACACTATAGGCTTTGATAGATTTTATCGTTGCCCTTAGTGATCTGAGATAGAAATCGTGAGCTTGTTTTGTTGCTCTTCCCGTGGCGAAGAGTCGCGATTAGAATTTCGATTTTGTTGAGTACTACAGCGTTTGCGTGAGCGTTGGCCGTACGAGTAGTCGCTGCTGGAGTTGTTTTACCAGCGTCTTTTTGCGAGTTGCGACTTTGTCTTTCATACATCCAGACATCGTTTTGGTCAAGCGTTTTGCTGCTATGAGTAAGAGTAATCCGACCCCCCCCTCCTTCTAGCGCCAAACTGTGGGAACCGAAATTCACACCTGTCGATTTCCGTAAAATAAGGAAAGTTCGGAAAACCCTAATTTTCCAGAGGAACCGGATCTCTGCGAAAGCCAACGACAAGTAACCAAGAACGCGATTAATATGAATAAATTGAAAGATATAAAAATAAAAACGAGATTGAAAGCAAGAAGGATTCTTATTGCGAATTCGCGTAAGAACGGTTACAACGAGAGTTGCCTTGGCTGCGTGAGCCGTCGGCAAAATTCCTAGTTCTAGCAATCTAAGAGTGAAACCCTAGTTGAGACGCAGCTCGATAACGAAAATGGAAAATTGCCTAAATGCTAAGTTTGGTGGTGAAAGCTCTGAAAACTCGTCCCTCAGCTTCTGCCCTATGCCTCCTCCTTATATACTCATCCTTAGGCAGTTTTAGTCTTTCCATTTTGCTCGAAACCGAATATTTTGGGAACTTTCCATATCTGTCGATCCTTCCTTTTCTTCTGCGGAAATCTTCTATTTATCTTCAAACTTGCCTTTTATCTTCCGTCTGCGAGTAGACCGTCAAAGCGTTATCGTATCTTCGGGTTTGATTTCGTTAACGTCGCGAGATGGGTTTTTATTGTATTTTAGGACCTTTCAGGCCGTTTTACGATAAAAACCGTTTTACGACTTTAACGAGACCGTTTCCTGATCCGATGCCGTTTTTTTACGCTTCTCTCGACGTTTTTTTATTAAAAACGAGTTTTTTATAATCTTAACGAAGAATCTCGGATAAATCGCATAGTTTAGGCGACGTTCGGTGTTTTGATTAACCGTTACCGTTTTATACGATTTCTTCGAGTTCTTTTCGCGAAAACGGAGTTTTACGGTTTTTATCGTAAAACTCGAACGATAGGACGGATCGAGACGAAACGGGAGACATTTCGACCGTGATTCAGAATACGATCGTGTCGAAGGACGTATGCCTTGAATAAAGGATGTGGGAGATCGAGGCTCGGGATGGTCGGCTCGACGTACGGCGAGCTAGTTCAGCTTGGCTAGGTCGCCATATGGCGAACTAGGCGAAACGAACCAGTGGGGCAAAGTCAGCACCTCTTAGTTCGCCCAATGGCGATCTAGCCGGGACGGGACTAGTTCGCCCATCGGCGAACTAAGACGGGCCGGCTTAGATCGCCGATGGGCGAACAAGTCGAGCGCCTCCTAGTTCGCCCATCAGCGAACTAAGCAGGGCCGGCTTAGTTCGCCGATGGGCAAACTAGTCGAGTATCTCCTAGTTCGCCGAGGGGCGAACTAGTCGAGTGCCTCCTAGTTAGCCCATCGGCGAACTAGTCGTGACTAGTTCGCGTTTTACGGCTGTTTCGTTTTTTTGCGGTTTCGTAAAACGATTCTTCGAGTTTTATAAAATGATTCTTCGAGTTTTATAAAACGATTCTCGGGTTTTATAAAACGATTCTTCGGGTTTTATAAAACGATTCTTCGAGTTTCATAAAACGATTCTCGAGTTTTATAAAACGATTCTTCGAGTTTCATAAAACGATTCTCAAATTTTATAAAATGATTCTTCTAGTTTTACAAAACGATTCTTCGATTTTTATAAAACGATTCTCGAGTTTTATAGAAGGATTCTTCGAGTTTTATAAAATGATCTTCGAGTTTTATAAAACGGCTTCTCGAGTTTTATAAAACGATCTTCGAGTTTTATAAAACGGCTTCTCGAGTTTTATAAAAAGATCTTCGAGTTTTATAAAACGATCTTCGAGTCATACAAAAGGGCTTCTCGAGTTTTATAAAACGATCTTCGAGTTTTATAAAATAGCTTCTCGAGTTTTATAAAACGGCTGCTCGAGTTTTATAAAACGATCCTCGAGTTTTATAAAACAATCTTCGAGTTTTATAAAACGGCTTCTCGAGTTTTATAAAGTGATCCTCGAGTTTTATAAAACAATTCTCGAGTTTTATAAAACGACCCTCGAGTTTTATAAAACGATCTTCGAGTTTTATGAAACGGCTTCTCGTGTTTTATAAAACGATGTTCGAGTTTTATAAAACGGCTTCTCGAGTTTTATAAAAAGATCTTCGAGTTTCATAAAACGATCTTCGAGTTTAATAAAATGTCTTCTCGAGTTTTATAAAACGATCCTCGAGTTTTATAAAACGATCTTCGAGTTTTATAAAACGGTTCTTTGATTTTTATAAAACGATTCTCGAGTTTTATAAAACGATCCTCGAGTTTTATAAAACGATTCTCAAGTTTTATAAAATGATCCTCGGGTTTTATAAAACGATTCTCGAGTTTTATAAAACGGTCCTCGAGTTTTATAAAACGATCCTCGAGTTTTATTAAACGATTCTTCGGGTCTTACAAAACGATTCCTTTTATATTTCTGCGGGGAGTTTCGGCCATTGATTTTGTCGTACCGATTTTGACCCCAACATCGGTGCGACGTCGGTTTTATAAAATAGTGAGATTATTTGTATTGTTTGGGCCATCCTGGCGATAAGTTAACCATTTTCATTTTATATGATTAATTTAAACTTTATACGAGAAAACAAGCCTTTGCGGTTTTCATTGTAAAATACCAATGGCAACTCCAATCGAGACGAAAAAAATATGGTTTGATGGAGACCCAAAGGTAGAAGTTCCATAGACAAGAATTCATGTCACAAAACTGTTCTAAGTCTCTTAATGGCGAGGTCAACTGTGGAGCATCCAACTCGCCATTGTGAAAGTTCGATATGCTGCGTCCAACTCGCCATCGAGCGTGTTAAACGTGGTGTGTCAGTTCTTCCCAATGGTGAGTTGGTTTATACTGGTTTGGTTACTATGACCCTTGTGAGCTGTTTGTCTTATCGTATAATTAGTTTTGAGTTAGGCGAGGTTTTAGTCTTAGTTCTTTTGCTTACCTTTTTCCTTTTTTAGAAAGGAAATAATTCTCGGGGACTTTTAGGTATTGATTCGCCGTGGCCGATTTTGACTCCAACAGTTAGCCCCCCCCCCCAGGTCGTTAGAGTTTTGAACTTCTAGCGTGAGACTTTAGTAATTGGTTAGGCATGTTAGACGGAATTAGGCAAGTTAGGCGGAATCAGTAGTAAAAAGTCTGAGAGTGAATAATAAGAATTTTTCACCTATAAGTATGTGGAGTAAGTTTTCAAATTCTTTATTTGCTTACTTACACAAGAATTCGCTTAAGGAAGAACTTTTTTCTCTCCATCTCTCCCTTTTGTTGTTTTTGAGTCTTGTCAGAAAATTTGATAGTTTCAGATAGTGCCCTGCCCTCCAATTTTGATCGTGCGAGTCTTTGCACAGACGGTGGTGAAATCATCCCAACGCCGGAGTTTGTGGTGCATTCCGGTTATCCAAAAGAGGCTGCTGCATACTGGCGAGCTACATGTGATATGGAGCATCCTCCACACAAATCGCAGTTTCCCAAAAAGAATCACAAAAATAAAGAGACGACTGGTCCGAGTATGAGTTGCTACCCGTTCCTTGGCGTTGTTCGAGATTTCTGTTGTGTCATGGACTCTGTAGAGTTTTGAATTCCATGAGCGGAAGAGCGCGCCGATACTCTCCCTGAGGGTTACTTCACATGTCACCAGCCGGCAGGAGTCGCCTTGATCAGGTCGATTTTCTGGGATTCGGTACCTTTGATCCTCCTCTTGACAAATTCTTCAACTTTGGGATGCCTCTGACCAAGAGCGAGCATGCGGAAACATCATTGTTTGGGCAGGCAGTGAGGATGTTCAATGGGGTTAGTCATTCCCTGTGGGCGTTTTCTGCTTTTCAGATTTTTTTTTTAATTTTTTACTGAATCTGAAAATCTCTGTATGGTTTCACTGCGAGTCGCTCGGAGGTGCGAACATCTCAGTTCAAGGTTGAAACGGCTGAGAGGGAGGTTTCTCATTTGAGGGACGAGATCGCGGTGAACTCGCTCCATGGCAAAGAGTTGTCCGCAAGGAAGGATCGCCAAGCCTATAAGAGAGGAAAGAGAGAGGTTGTGGAGATTGTGATGAATTTTCGTATCCAGTTTACGGGCTTTTTTGAGGAGATGAAGAGGACGTATAAGTCCATTGGCGACTACCATGAGTGCAGCGGTACTGTTGATGGATTGTACCATATGCAAGCCTCCGACTATTCCTATGATCAGGAGATGGCCAAGAAATGAAGGCGCATGCAGAGATGTGTGAATGTGAGTTCTATGATTCCACAAATTGATGAGAGAATTTAGGAACAGTGGGCTCCGATCGCCGGTTCTCCAAGTTCATAGGAAATCGGGTCGGGAATCCCTGCCAGCGGGTTTGGTTAACAATTTCTCGTTTGGTTAGTCGATGGCTGGGAACTTCGAGCATGATCCGTGAAGGTTTAGATTTTGTTGGTGTTTGATGGGAAAATGTTCTCTTTATCTTATGTGCTGGCCGAGTGTGGCTGTTTGTATCTATCTTTGGCCATGTGTGTCCATACTTTTATGTTTGCTCGGTTTGAGTATGGCCTTGTTACATTATTGGGACTAGCCACTTGTGGCTTTGAATCCCTACCATTCTACGGCTTTATTTCTTATAATGAATTTTAGTTTTAGCGTATCAAGAGCTTGCAAGTATTTTTATTAAGTGTTGAGGAAGAATATGAATTGTCATCTCGTATCTTTCTCTGCTGAGGCATTCTATCTGTAGTTTGTTTAAGACGGAGGTGTTCAAAAAATTAGACAAAACTTCACGAAGTTTCGTGACCGTTTAGATATGAACGAAGAGACATGTTTTAGGATCTCGTATTGGTTTTGATATTATTCCTTGAAATGTTAGAGACTAGTGTGCTAGGTTTAGAGAAAGACGTAGGTTTACTTTCGGGTTAAGGATTCACGATGACTAATCGGCTCTTGATTTACCTGTTACGATTTTAACCTGATTCGTAACGATTTAAAGTCCACGATAAGTTCTTAGCTTATACGACTTGTGTGGTAAGAATCGTTTGGAAGTACTGACTAAAATTTTGGAATTCTTTTATAGCGCGCTATTATCCTAGTCAGATGTATGACCAATTCTTCGAGAGAGAAGTTCAGAATGTGTTTGTTTAAGAAAGCTAATGTATTCTTCGGGGTCAATCGACGAATGTCTTCCAAGAGCGAGTGCTCGTCTGAGTTTGATAGTCGTGGTCGGACTGTTTTTGTACGTTTGAGTTTTGGACATGTAATTTCAATATTTTTAGCGATGTCTCGCTTTTCTCCAAAAGTTTGTCCAGTAAAGATGAATTAAAGTTTTTTTTTTATAGACTGCGAGTGTCTCGTGTTTTTGGTTGGAAGTCGGATTTGACCGTGTATTGAAATAGTGATTGCTGGTCTAAGTATACCGCTTTTTCTCTCTGCGGGTTTTAGAGACGCTTAGTTAGCTAGATGGAATGATTTCTTGTACGATAAAATTTTTGTTTGTACTTAGAAGTTTTCTAGGCGGATCCTGAGATGTTTATGCGATAAAAGAGATCTTTGCGAGATTTGTAAAAATCTTTATTACGCTTTCTTATTATCGGAATTTTGTTTTTTCTGATATCGAGTACTAGGAAAAATATTTTTAAATGCGGGAGTATACGAGTATACGTATTTGTACCAACTCCCCCTCCCTTTTTAGAGAGGACGCTAGCTTAATTCGTCTAGAGGTGAATTGCCTACATACCCTTTTTAGGGATCAAGTTGTCTCGTAATTAAGTTGGTGCCGCGAGTGTGTTTACTCGATTTTTACGGCTGCGTCGATTTCCTTAGTTGCAGTGACTGTATCTGGATCGACGTCTTCTTCCGGGTTTATCTCCTCCGGTTGGGTTAGGGTGTTGAGCTTGGAAATTTACTGGTTTGAAACCGTTGCTTGAGCAGATGATGCTGAGTCGTCTTTCCTCAAGTATTTTCAGCCGATGGCTGAGTTATCTTCATGCGTTTTGGTTTTACCATCGCAGTAGTCGTGACTTGCCTTTGCTTATGCAAGGAAGAAGAGTCGTGACTGTTCCTGACAGCTCCAGATTGCGGCAATTCTGTTTTGGGTATGGAATTTGATGCCTAGGTGATAAGTATATGGGACTGCCTTCATGACGTTCAACCAAGGCGTTCCCATGATGATGTTGTAGATGGCTGGGTGGTCGACGACCGCGAAGTCAACGATCTTTGTGACTTCTTTCGCCGTGACTGGGAGTTTGATCGATCCGAGAGTCATTGATGTTATGCCTAAAAAACCAGTTAGCGATTTTTTAGTTGGTACTACTTCTCCGAGCTAAACGTTCATTCTCTTAAAGGTATCAAGAAAGATGACATTGACTGTGCTTCCCGTGTCAATGAGGATTCTAGCGACTTTGAGATCTCTGATTATGAGATCAATAACGAGCGGATCACAGTGAGGCTGGTTGATTCTTCCAGCAGCTTCTTCCTTGAAGGTGATTGCGCTTTTGTAGGCGTCTTGGGGTGGAGACCAGGTCGGCCAGTTTTCATTCAATTCGGCTTTTCTCTAGTAAGATTTAATGGACGAGACTGTATTGTTGCAGTATTGCGATCCTCCAATGATCATGTTTACTATGCATTGGTTATTGTTGTTACCTTTCTCATCATGTCTTCTTACCCGCTTTTCGCCCAAATTATTCCCCTGAGAAAAGTTTTCAGGTGGTGTGGTTTTATCAGTTTTTGGAGGACGATCGGTCTCACAGAGGAGATTCTTCACGCTGGTCACCTCGGAGAATTCTCTTGTGAGTGATTTTGTGGCCAGCCTTGTCCCGAGAACTTTGCAGTTGATGGAGTCGCCTCAGGTATGCTGGAAGTCCCAGAACGTATTCTCGTCGTAATTGAAGTTTCGGGTCAATGTATTCCTCGAGGATCTTGCCTTCTCGGATTTTATCAGATAGTTATGCTCCCCTTGGAGCTCTTCTCCCTCATAGTGGACATACATGTCCATACGAGAGTTCTTCTTTTTAGACTTTTGGTCTGAAGTCGCATCTTTCGAGGAAGTCTTTGTCGTCTTGTGCTTTGTGAGAAAATTTTGTTTCCTCTTCGTTGATGATGTAGTCCTTACCCTTGTGAAGGGCATCATGGATTGCGTGTGGCTTATCGAGGGTTATCCATTTTCCGAATTTTGACTTGTACTGGACCGTCTTTCTGAGCGCATCGATAACCACTTTGTTGCTTATTCCGCTAACCCTTGACCTGACGAGCTGAACGTGCTCATGAAGTCGCGGAGAGGTTCTTCTCTCTTGGACAGACTCCAGAGATTGACATCAGAGGTTTCTCTATCGATGAACATCAAATACTACTTAAGAAACTCTAAGCGAGTTGGTGAAAACTTTCGATAAAATTTTACCTAAATTAGGAGAACCACTCGAGTGTTTCTCCCTCCAGATTTTCAACGAATATGCGACAATAGCCAGCGTCTCTTTCAATTTCCCTAAGTCTGGCTCTTTCCATCGAAATCTGGAAGGCATGTAGATGTGCCTTGGGATCGGTGGTGCTGTTGTACGTTGGCACCTTGATCTTTCCAGGATCAGACACTTAGGTCTTGGTGATGCCAGCTGTGAAGGGTGTTTTCCGAGCTTCCTCAAGAAGGCGATCGATTTCAGGCGCACTGCTAGTAGCGTGGTGAATTTTAAATTTCACCTCTCTTACTTCCGCGGCTGTTTTCATGTTGTAATCACGGAGATCGTGAATTTGATATTGTCTCCAGGAGTTTTCCGACCTTGTCGGCATTGAGTGATCTGAGTCTGCTCTTCGGCTAGTTTCTCCTGTTCCACCCATAAGATGTTTTCTTCTTCTTTGTTCTTAGGTTTCTCGAATGAAGAATCGTGCAGAGCAATGCAGCTCCTAGTTCTTCTTGGATGCACGTCAGCGTCTTCCTCCGAAGGGTTGGAATGATAAATGAGATCCAAATCGACTCGCTCGATGTCGCCGTTTTCAGCCCCTAATCCTGAGGAGGAAGGGTTTCCGAGTTATTTTCCGTTGCCTCGGAGTTGGTTTCATCGGGAGCTTGTCCTGATGAGTTTTCTTGTATGTTCACAGGCCTATACAAGGGAACAAATGCCTAAATTGTTCTAAGTGCTAAATTTTCTGTGTAAAAAGTTCCTCCCTTGTCTCTCGCCTCTGCACTTCTTATAATACTCCCCTCCTAGGTGGTTTACCCTTTCTTTTTCTGCCTCCGGGCCGAATTTATTACTTCATGGAAAATTCCATATTTCTTCGATCTTCGAGATTATCTCTTGAAACTTAACATTCATCTCCACACTTGACATTTATTATATCCTGCGAATAGATAGACCGTCATAGCAACTTTAGGCCTGATTTCATATAAAATTGCAAGTGGGCTTTTCGGCCGTGTTTTAGACCTTTTTGGGTCATTTTGCGATTTTAAGCATTTTTATGATTATTTCGTAAAATAATCCTGACCTCGGTTTTAAACAGTAGTCAAATTATTTGTATAGTTTAGGAAACCATGGCGTTAGGTTAACTGTTACCGTTTTATACGATAATTCAAAGTTTATACGAGAAAACAAGCCTTTGCGGTCTTTATCATAAAGTTCCAACAGC